ATCTCATCGCCCCCATGGATAGGACGAGAGTCAGGGGCGGTTGTCCGTCCATCCATCCCCCGTCATTGGGGAGAGGACCCAGTAGGCCCAGAGAGGGGGAGTGACTTGCTCAAGGCCACACAGCTCCCGGGAGGGAGTGTTTATCTGCTTCCACAGGTGGGGAATCTGAGGCTCAGCAGGTTGTTGCATGGGCCCAAGGTCACGGGGCTGATGAACGGGATGGGGGGGGGTTTTGAGACTCAGACGGAGGTGGTGGCGTTGGAATCGGGGCTTCCGCATGCAGAGCATGGGCCCCCCGAAACCTGCTGCGCGTGGGCGAGGAGTGGAGGGGGGTGCTTGGGTTGGCTGAGCAGACCCTCTTGGTGCTGCCGGTGTGGGGCTTGGCTTTACCGTCCCTGCCCTTGAGCCTGGCGGCAGGAGGTCCCCACCTCTCACGGGGCCCGGGGGGGTCCTCCTGGGGTGCATTTAGGGTGCCACGCCCAGCCCTTTCTCGGAGCCGGGGAGCCGGAGCGAGGAGCGTCTGGGAACAGGGATGTGTCCGAGGGACCTGAGGGACTCCCGGGCTGTGGGACGGAGCTGCGGGGACGATGTGGCTCGCTCAGCCCTGTGGCTCCCAGGCCCGCCTCTGCCTCTCGGCCTAGGGCCCCAGCCTCCCCTCCCCCCGCTCCCCCCCCCCCCCCCAAATCCCCCAGCTGAGTGGCAGCTGTCACAGATACCGGCGTCTCCCCGGGTCAGGCCCAAATAAAGGAGAAACCAAAATACATTCGCCTTTGTCGGGATCCTGCGAGGAGGGTGAGCAGGGCGAGAGAGTCACCTGCTATTGTGCTCGGGGCCCACACGCTCCTTACATAAGCCCGGAGTTAAAAATACCCCTGGAATTTCTGATTCCCGGGCCCTGCCGCTGCCTGGGGTGGCCCCCGGCCCCCCGCCCTCCCAGGCTCCCAGGGCAGGGGGTGGGAGGCGGCAGAGGAACTCCCAGGAGCTGGGGCTGCCTTCAGAGCCCCAGGCTGTCCCCCAACGGGGAGCGGGAAACCCCCAGAACAGCAGAGCCTTTCGGTGGGCAGGGGCCGGGGAATCCTACCTGCCAGTGCTCCTGTGTCCTCACCCGCATCATCTCATTTAATCCTACAGCCCGAGTCAACACTTTGCCCAGCCCCCCTTCTCCTCACTCCCCCACCCCTGCACCCCGGGGTTAGCACCCAGGGAATTGTTGGCCCCGGCTCAATGGAGCACCTTTAAAAAAAAAAAAAAAAAAAAAAAAATATATATATATATATATATATATATATATATATATATATTTTATTGATTTTTTATAGAGAGGAAGGGAGAGGGATAGAGTTAGAAACGTCGATGAGAGAGAAACATCCATCAGCTGCCTCCTGCACACCTCCCACCGGGGATGTGCCCGCCACCACGGTCCATGCCCTTGACCGGAATCGAACCTGGGACCCTTCAGTCCGCAGGCCGACGCTCTATCCACTAAGCCAAACCGAGTCAGCACTCAAGCCCCCCGCCGGGTGCCTGGGGTGCCTGGGGTGCGTGGGGTGCTGGGCTGGACACACCAAGCCCGCCCCTCCCCCAGGCTGCCCGTCCGATGGGGGCGGCAGGCTGACGGCTAACACATGGAAAACACACGGCAACGCCATCAGGTTCCGCGGGGTCTGCCTGTGCTGGCACCGAGCTACTCCAGGGCTCTCCCCCCCCCCCTGCCCCATCCGGGGAGCTGGGCGAGGGGCCGGCTTATCTCTGGGTCCTGGTGCCCCAGGAGCCGGGGACGGGCCTCTCGGAGCCCGGGCAGGCCCCGACGTGAGGCGGCTTCCGCGGGACTGATTTATGGGCAGCTGCTCCGCGGAAGGAATCCTGGGGCGGGAGGATGCGTTCGGTCATGCTTGGGTTGTCAGGACCCGGAGGGGAATACACCCTCTTGAAACATATTCCCTGTGGATACGCCACGCCCTGGTGCATCCCGGTCAGGGGCCGGGGAATCCTACCAGCCAGTGCTCTGTGACGGCAGGCCAGCCCCTCACCCTCTCTGAGCCCCGGGACCCCCTGTGACGCAGGGAGGAGGGCTACCCTGCTGCCGGGCTTGCTGGGAGAGGGACGGAGATAATAATACCCGGAAGGGCTGTGCTGTGTGCTGACTCAATCGAGCCTGTGCAAGAAGAGCCGCTGTGCTGAAACCGGTGTGGCTCAGTGGGTAGAGCGTCGGCCTGCGGACTGAAGGGTCCCAGGTTCGATTCCCGTCAGGGGCATGTGCCTTGGTTGCGCGCACATCCCCAGTAAGGGGTGTGCAGGAGGCAGCTGGTCGATGATTCTCTCTCATCGATGTTTCTAACTCTCTATCCCTCTCTCTTCCTCTCTGTAAAAAAATCAATAAAACATATTTTTTTTAAAAAGAAGAAGAGCAGCCATCTTGGTTGCACCGGAGTCGTCTGTAAGTTGGGAACAGAGCATCCTGAGAAAACTGGGCCAGTCCGGTCCATCGGGGACCCTCCCTCAGCAGACCCAGGTGGCAGAAGGGTCCCCAAGCCTCCCCCATAGCTGGGGACATGCCGATCCTGCAGCCACTGAGTAAGAAAACCAGGCGACGGGACCTTGGGTCTGGGCCTTGGTGCCAGCATCGGCAAGCGGCCTCGGTTTGCTGCCTGTGAAATGGGCACACGCATCGCCGTGTTGGCCCCTGGAGGCCACGCGTGGAAAGGGAAGTCAGGAACCCCTCTTGGCGTCGCTCGCGTTGGCGGACGCGATCCCGCTCGCCCATCCAGAGCTTGCAGTGCTCGGAGCAGAACTCCTCTTGGGGGTGCTAGGCCGTGGAGTCCCAGGGCGTCCGTCGGCTGCGTGGGCCCCAGAGCAGACGTGTGCAGGCTGAGCACCCACGTGGCTCCCCGTGTGCAGGGGAGCCGGGCTCTGGCGTGGAGTGGCCTTCCGGCCGCCCCGCTCACCCACCAGGCCCCCCACCCGGGCTCTCCTCCCGTGAGACGGGGCGAGGACGCCAGTGCCACGGACGGGAGCGTGTCCGTCTGGCCGTGTCCCAGGAGGGGGCCGAGGCGTGGGGGCGTCTCCATGGGAGCAGGGATCCCTCGCCTTCTGACCTCCCCCCCCCCCGACCTGGTCCTAATGACAGTCCCAGAAGCCCTGTGTGGGGGATCTTTTCTGCAAACCGGGCGATGGATGACAAGGCCCCCAGGGAGGTGACGTCACCCCCGCTTCGGCAGCCGGGATCGGAGGCCGGGAGAGGGAAACGGGCGGGCGTCTTGGCCCACGGTGGTGGGACTGGGACTCCAGCCCCCGTCTGTGACTCCGCAGTGACTGTGCTAGGACGCTGGCTCCCGGGGTGGGGCGGGGGGTGTGGGGATGGGGGAGCGGGAGGAGGACAGTGTCTGCCTCATTTCCTGCTGGACCCGCAGGGCCGGCCCACACCTGGCACCTGGTCGGAACACTCCGCCGAGGCCGGTGGAGGAGGGAAGGAGCCAAGGAGAGAACTTCCTCTCCCGCCCCAGCTCCTCCCAGCACCCCAAAGCCGGGTGTCTCCAGCGCCCCAGGGTGGGGGCCCCTGCAGACCCGGTTAGTCACCGCCTGGCCTTGGCTGCCTGGGCCCGTCCTTCTGGGAAGGTTTTTCTCGCACTTAATCCCACAAGGCGAGATGGGCGAGGCGACGCCTGCCTGGCACAGGGCCCTGGCGGGGCCTGCCCGCTGTGCCTCTGAGGAGGGTGGGTTGGGTACGGAGTTCAGTATCGGGGCGTGCTCTCTCGGCCCCACGGGGGCCCCCAATCCTCTGCTGAGTCAGAAGTGCACCTTCTGGGCTGTGTGGCCTTGGGGAGGTCGCCTCTCCTCTCTGAGATTCAGGCTGTCTGAAAGGGGGGGGATCATGCCGAAACCGGTTTGGCTCAGTGGTAGAGCGTCGGTCTGTAGGACTGGAGGGTCCCAGGTTCGATTCCGGTCAAGGGCATGTCCCTTGGTTGCGGGCACATCCCCAGTAGGGGGTGTGCAAGAGGCAGCTGATCGATGATTCTCTCTCATCGATGTTTCTATCTCTCTATCCCTCTCTCTTCCTCTCTGTAAAAAAATCAATAAAATATATTTAAAAAAAAATAAAAAAATAAAAGGGGGGATCATGAGAATAGTCATCCGTCTATGGCGTGTCTGGCTCAGAATAGAACCATTGGTCACCAGGAGGCAGTGAGTGAGCAGCCCTCCGTAGTGAGTGCTCTAGGCATCCCAGTTCTTGTGCTCTTTGAGTCTAATTCGCACTAAGGTGTGAATGGTTGTCCAGCAGCCAGTTTCCCCTCCCGTGCGTCTAACGCAGGCATCCGTGATGTCTCTGGGTGCCGTGTGACCACGTGCAAAGGAAATGGAAGGGGCTGTTTTGCTAAGGGCACAGAGAGGACAGAACTCCCTCACCCTTATCACCCAAAGTCCCTTGATACAGCGCTTGGGCAAAGGGCAAAGGCCTGGTTGGGGGAATCCAGACTTTCCGTCTTCACTGCACGGAGCAGTGTGGCACCTTGTTCAGGACGTTCTGGAAGATGGCGAGTGGATAAGCTGGGGTCTGGACCTGGACAGTCTTCCCTAGCACCCTTTCGCTGCATCCCGAACGGACTCCTACACACGCTGCAATGCCCCGTGTAGATGCTCCCTCCTCTAGGAAACCTCCCCGACGTGGCTCGGGTCCAGCTAAAATCTTTGGGGAACTCGAGTGCATCCGAGATGGAGCAAAACCCTGAAACAGGATTGTCCCAACCATCCTATTTCCCAGGGGTCTACCGCGGTGACCCAGGAGGAGGAGGAGGAGGAGGAGGAGGAGGAGGAGGACTTCCATGGGCTGAGGTCTCATCCGGATCAGAGGCAAGAGCGGGGCATTTTAACCAGACGTCCTCAGATCCCTTCAGAACGCCTTCAGGCGCGACGCGAGGCCACGGCTGCTCTCCCTCCCCCCTCCGGGGCCTCCTGCGGAGCCGAGCACACTAACCCCTCTCTCCCCCTTCTTCCTCCCACAGCCCACGACCTCCCCGCGAACAAGGCCCCCGCGGCCCAGCCCGGCAGCCATCTGCAGTGCCTGTCTGTCCACTGCACAGACGACGTGGGCGACGCCAAGGCCCGAGCCTCCGTGCCCACCTGGCGGTCCCTGCACTCCGACATCTCCAACCGGTTTGGGACGTTCGTGGCCGCCCTCACTTGAACAGACAAGAATGCCCCCTGCCCCTGCACCAGGCCCCTCCCTCCCCTCCCCTCCCCTCCCCTCCCCTCCCCTCCCCCCCCCTCCCTCGCCTCTAATAACCGGAGAGGGCCACTGTCGCTGAAGGAATGGGCTCTTTTCTAGGTTGGTACTGGCGTAGTGGCGGCGTATGGACCGGAAAGGGTTAATTTAAAAGGGAAGAAAGGAAAAAAAAAAAAAGAAAAGAAAAAGAAAAACCTCAAACATTTTTTTTTTTTTTTTAATTTTAAAAAAAGAGAGACTCTGTCTGCCACAGTATGTTACCAGTGTTAACCCTTCTGCCGTTAGCCAACTCCGGCTTCAGCCTCTTCCTCGCTTAGAGAATTCCCTCCCCCCTTTTTATTTCCCCTCCCCGTCACCTTGGCGTACGGTTTTTTGTTTTATTTTCCACGCGGCTGTACGCCCGAGGATTGCTAGTTCACGATAAGACGAGCGTTGCTTTCTTTCTTTCTTTTTTAAAATTCTCTTTTATTCTTATTCCTCCCCCCCTTACCCCCGCCTTATTGTTTTCCTCCTTCCCTTTATTTTTTTGGTTCCTTTTTTTTTTCTTCTTTCTTTCTTTCTCCTTTCTTTCCTTCTTTGCTTTGTTCACGGCTTATTAAAATGGAAATCCCGGAGAAGAGTGGCCCTGGAATCCTGCGAAAGAAAGTCACGTTGTCATCGTTGTCATCGCCATATTATCTATTGGCATCCACCTGTCATCAGGGAGGCGGGAGCCAAACAAGGAATGTCCCCCCTCCCCTCCCCCTTAGGTATTCCACCAGGGGTGTTGTGTTGTCTGTTTCCCAAGGAGAGAGAGAGAGAGAGAGAGAGAGAGAGAGAGAGAGAGCGAGCGCGCGAGCGCGCGCGTTCTGCTGGAAGCTGCCCTCTGCATCGGGCGGTGACGTGGCGGGCCGCGCTGCGGGAAGGACGCGGAAGGCTTGACAGCGGAGTTTTCTCCTCCCTTCCTGGGCCTCTCACAAACGCCGGGGCTCCGAATGGTCACGCGTTGCTGAGCAGCCCTGGTCCGCATGGGGGATGGGGGCCTCCCAGCCGCAGCGTCTGAGGGGTGGGGGCCTGGGGGGCTCCGGGCTCCAGCTCTGCTCCAGCCCAGGCCATGGGGGCGAATCCATGCTTCCCCGTGGGCCTCTGAGGACGGCTGTTCCCAGGAGGGAGGCACTGGGGGGTGGAGGGCTGGGTGTAGCTCCCCCCTGTTCTCACAGCCCCCCCCCCCCCCCCCCCCGATCTATGTGACCCCCTCCGATCGAACGCCCCACCCCTGGGAAGAAGGAGGAGGGAGCCCAGGCTCAGCTTGCTGAGCCCCCTCTCTCCAAGCCTGGGATTTAAAAAAAAAAAATTTTGGGGGGGCTGGGTTTTGCAGACGGCTGGGGGTCAGAGGGAGGAGGAAGAGACTATAACTCATGACTCGGATACCTGGGCCTTGTTTTTTTTTTTGAACCCTGGAATTCCACCATCCCTCTCCCCCCTCCCCCCTTTTTGACCTAACGTCCTCACTCTATTGCAAAATGAGAGCCACAGCCCATGTCTCACGGAGAATTAACTTTCTGAGACATGACGAGGGAGGGAGGCTGGGTGAGGGGGGCTCCTGGGCCCCGCCAGGCATGCCCCCTGGTCCTCCCTCCCTGAGTGTGGTCACCGGGGGCTCCAGGTGACGGGAGCGGGCACCCTGGGGTGCCATGGGTGCTTAGGAGGGTCTCGAAGGATCTGGAGGGGTGGGGGGGGGCATGGAGATCCCAGGGGTGGGTCAGACAGGAAGTGACCCCGGTATCATTCCACCCCAATCGGCGGTCCCTGTGTTACCGGTTTCTGTGAAGGGCCACGGCTTCCGAAATCCCCCATTTTGAGCCTCCTCTCATCATCTCCCCTTTTGCTCCCCCCTCCCCCACATGGTTTATTTCAAAGACCTTCTCGGCCAAGGGAGGGGAGAAGAGCATCTAGGAAAATCTTCTCTTTCCATAGCCAGTCCTCCCGCCCCCACCCCCTCCCTTTCTTTCCTTCTGCCGGCTTTTTTTTGGCTCGGGTCCGAGTCTGGACAGTGCAAGGTCCTGGCCTGGACGGGTGTCTGCCCCGGGGGCTGACGCCCCACAGCAGAGGGCAGGCCTAAGCCCGCAGTGTGAATTTATCAGAAGGAGGTGTGTGAGCGGATCAGGTCGAAAGGAGAGAAAGTGGGGTGCGGGGGGGGGGGGGAGGAGAGAAGAGGGGAGAGAGAGAGACGTGTCCCTTGCTGTCACTGGCTTCAGGGGGATCAGCCAGTCAGAGCAACACCCCACACTCCCGCCCACCCCGCCATGGACAGCTGTTTTGAGAGCGTCGTCATTTTATTTTATTTAAAAAAAAACACAAATAAAAACAGGAATGATTTCTCTTCTGTGGCTTCAGGCTGAGGAGCTAAGTGTCTTTTTGACTTCTGTCTTTTTGACTCTGCCCAGCGCTTGGCCATCCGCTCAGAAACACCTGAAGTTTAAAAAACGTTCTCTCTCCCGGACCCCGGAATGGAACAGCTTTACAAATAGCCTTAAGCAAAAGGATGGCATTTCGTTACATCTGGTTCCATGGGAAACATAAAAGGCAAATGAGAAACACACCCCCAGCCCACGAGGTTCCAGACACTGGTAATGGGTACTCCCATCGCGAACTCTTCGGGGGGGAAAAAATAAAACAAAAAAACGTTCTTGCACATGTAACATAGGAAACCTTAACTCTGCTGTGTTAGGCAATCCTGTAACCTTCTTTGACTCTTAAAAAAAAAAGAAATTCATTTCTGAGATGCTTGGTTGGGAGACTGTGACAATAGCTCATGAAATTGAGTGTTATTTTTCTTTCTTTCTTTTTTTAAAAAAAAAACCTATGTAAAGTGCAGTCTTCTGTATTCATGCATATTGTATATACCTGTATATGTTTTCCTGAGCAGCTAAATAACAATAAATATGACGTTAATGGTGGCTGTGGCGCGTTTGTGGGCGGGGCTTGCTTTATTTCCATCACTCCGCTCCCCCTACCCTCTGTCCCTCCCTCTCCCCCCCACCCCCACCCCACACGCCTCCCCTTTGCCCATAGGTCTCTTCAAATGACATGGGAGATGAGAGTAGAGGTCTGGATGCTGTTGAGTGTGTGTGTGTGTGTGTGTGTGTGTGTGTGCTTGCACGCACCTGTGTATGAGTGTGCATGCGTGTGTTGATGCCAGTCGGGTCATCTCAGAATGTCTCCATCAGCACTGCGGACATTGGGTTAGGGGGCCCTGCATGGTGGGGGCCATCCTGTGCATTGTAGGGGTGTTGAGCAGTATCCTTGGCCTGGAGATTCCAGTAGCACCTCTTCCCCCCACCCCCACCCCCACCCCCTTGTGACAACCCAAACATTGCTCAGTGTCCCCTGGGAGGCATCTGATTACCATCGGGGGGGAAGGAGTATGGGGAGACCCACCCCAGGCGGCTGTGCCATCTGAGGGCTCTCTCTCTTTTTTTGAGTCTTCGAGTCCACTATCAGAAACCAGAAAGCTTTGCATCTTCCTGCCAGCCGTGCGGCTGCTCCGTGCCTCCATGTTCCCATCTGTGAAATGGGTCTAACAGCGGAGCTGTCCTAGCAGACAACGCGGTGTGTGTGGACGCAGCACCCCGGCGGGCCATGTGCCGGGGTCCGTTTCTCCCGGGTGGGCTGCTGGTTCCGCCGCCTGTGGCCCTGGGCTGTGGCGGGCACGCGGTCCCACCCAGCCTCCATTGTCTTGTCTCTGAAGTGGAGCCAGGAACATCCAGCGTGGAGGCGACTGTGAGCACCGGCCCTGGGTCAGCTCTTACGCCTGCCAACGCTCTGGCTGTCCCCGGGGCTGGCCTCTGGGCAGTAGCTTCGCAGCCTGAGGCTTAAATGAAAATTCCTCATTTAAAAAAATATATATTTTTATTGATTTTTTTTTTTTTTTTACAGAAAGGGATAGAGAGTCAGAAACATCGATGAGAGAGAATCATCGATCAGCTGCCTCTTGCACACCCCCTACTCCCCAGTGCCCACAACCAAGGCACATGCCCTTGACCGGAATCGAACCTGGGACCTCTCAGTCCGCAGGCCGACGCTCTTATCCACCGAGCCACATGGGTTTCAGCTAAAAACTCCCCATTTTAATGCTTTTAGCTTCACTGTGGGACCTTCCTCTACGCGGGAGAGAATGGAGGGAGAAGGAGGGCTCCTTCAAAGGGAGGGGACTGTGTCCCCTAACGGATGGCACAAAGGATGGGACATTCTCCGAGAGCTTCGTGGACCCCATGGGGGAGGCTTAGGCGAGGCTTCCTCCCGCAGGCTGTGTCCCGGTGGGGTTTTGACGTAGGAAGAGGAGTTCACCCTCTTCCTCCCCAGCACGTACACGGACCCCGGTGTGGCAGCCGGGTTGCTGTGTTCTTTCCCTCCGGCTTTTTGAAGTTCTCTCTGTGGGGGCAGCGACGTGGTCGTCGGAATAGGACGTTGTAGGGACGAGGCCCCTCTGTTCGCTCTGATTTGGAAGAGCGTAAGCGACTCTTTAACCTTTAAAGGTCTCCCGCGCAGAGCGACAGTGGTGGATGATCATGGTCCGTGGCCGAGGAGGGGAAGAGAGGCGAGGGAATGATGAGCCGCGGGATGGGCGCCGGGGAGACGTGAGGTTGGTGTGAAGTGAATGGATGAGCGAGTGAGTGACTTCACGTCTCAGAGGATGAAGAACCGAGAGGACCACATGACGTGGGCTGGATATCGGTCCTGGGGAGGGAGGGCCAGGGTGGGGCTCCTGCAGCAGGCTGGTGTATATTTTATTTATTTTATGTTATTATTTCTTTTAAATATATTTTATTGATTTTTTTTTACAGAGAGGAAGAGAGAGGGATAGAGAGTTAGAAACATCCATGAGAATCATCCATCCGCTGCCTCCTGCACACCTCCTACTGGGGATGTGCCCACAACCAAGATACATGCCCTTGACCAGAATCGAACCTGGGACCTTTCAGTCTGCAGGCCAACGCTCTATCCACTGAGCCAAACCGGTTTTGGCATATTTTATTATTTTATTTTATTTCCCCCCCCCCAGTTTTTAATTTCTTTATTGATTAAGGTATTACATATGCGTCCTTATTCCCCCATTACCCCCCCCCTTACCTCCCATCCATGCCCCCACCCCCCTTTTGTCTGTGTCCATTGGTTAGACTCACATGCATGCATCTGAGTCCTTTGGTTGCTCTCTCCCCCTTACCCCCACCCTCCCCAAGGTTTGACGTTCTGATGGATGCTTGGCCTTCCCGTGTTGGCAGAGACACCCCATCTTTGCCAGATGGTCCCCCTCAGAATGGCTGCCCCCTTCTGGGGCACCACCCACTCTGGAGGCCTGAGAGGCTGTCTCATGGGAGGGAGGAATGGGGGTGGGACGGGCTCAGAGGGATCCTCGAGAGCCAGGGGCAGGTGCAAGAAAGACCCCCACCCCCACCCCCATCCCACTTTCTGTGAACAAAGATTAGAAATAGTCACAAGGCCGGAGTGAAACATAGGTTTCCCTAACTGACCAGGGGATCAGCAGGAAGGACCCCATGGGGGAGGGAGGGCACCCCAATTGAGTGTGGTGTAGACGTGGGAGGTGCTGGGGAGGAGATGGGGGCTGGGCGGCAGGTGGTCCATCCGCTCACTGGCTGGGTGGCTGCTCTCTGAGCCTCAGTCTCCTCATCTGCAAAATGGGGCCACTTCTAGCCCCACCACAGAGACGTGAGGTCCCCGTGCGGTAAGCGGGCTTTGCCCGGGGGCTGCTCTGAGCACACCTTCAGTCCGCGTCAGCCGCTGCGGGGGTGGAAGGAACCGTTAGGTGCCTCCGTGTCTCCCCGTGCCAACAGAGGTCCAGCGATCACAGGAAACACCTGTGTGACGCCTGCTCAGGTGAATCCTAGTCACCGCTGATGAACGATGCGAATGGCTCCTCATCGCCAGAGGAGCCCCGTGCCCCAGAGAAGGAAGCTGAGACGCAGAGAGAGAGGGAAAGCCGCTTGGCCAGGATCCCCGGGGCCCTTGCTGCCAGGCACCAGGAGGATGCAATCGTGCTGAGCACAGGGCCTGGCTGGGCCTTTCCATGCCAGGGGCCAGGTCTTCCTGCTCCCCCTGCTCCGTCACAGTCACCGCTCTGCTGCCGGCCCGGGCAGGGCCCGGCCACACCGCCCCATCCCTGTGGCTGGTGCTGGCTGCGGAGGCTGGGCGGAGAGGCTGGGGGGGGGGGGAGGCTGGGGGGGGCGGAGGCTGGGGAGGAGAGGCTGGGGGGAAGACTAGGGGGGGGCTGGAGGGGGGAGCCTGGGGGGGGAAGCTGGGGAGGGGAGACTGGGAGGGGGGAGGCTGGGGCGGAGAGGCTGGGGGTGGAGGCTGGGGGGGAGGCTGGGGAGGGGAGACTGGGGGGGGAGGCTGAGGGGGGAGGCTGGGTGGGAAGGCTGGGGGGGAGGCTGGGGTGGAGAGGCTAGGAGGGAAAGGCAGGGGGGGAGGCTGGGGGGGAGGCTGGGGGGGGAGGCTGGGGGGAGGCTGGGGTGGAGAGGCTAGGGGGGAAAGGCTGGGGGGGGAGGCTGGGGGGGAGGCTGGGGCGGAGAGGCTGGGGGTGGAGGCTGGGGGGGAGGCTGGGGAGGAGACTGGGGGGGAGGCTGGGGGAGGAGGCTGGGGGGGGAGGCTGGGGTGGAGAGGCTGGGGGGAAAGGCTGGGGGGGGAGGCTGGGGGGGAGACTGGGGGGGAGGCTGGGGGGGGCTGGGGAGGAGAGGCTGGGTGGAGAGGCTAGGGGGGAAAGGCTGGGGGGGAGGCTTTGTGTTTCCCTCCTCCGTCCGCTGCCAGCACAGGTATGGACCCTGGGCCGAGCCAGCAGGTGCTCCTGGCAGCCTCCCCTCCAGCCTCAGACAGGACAGGACAGGAGGGGAGATGATGGAGGCGGCGGGACCTCCTGTTCTCCAGTCCCTCTGCTTGGGGCTCGCGTCCTGCAGGTCTGGCCGGTGGCAGGGGGCCGGGGGGCCGCCGTGGCCACGGCCTTTGTCCTCTCCGTCACAGCCCCTCCCTGTGGGGCGGAGGAGCCTGACCCCAAGGGGACCCTCGCCCGCCAGAGCCCATTCTTCCCGGGGCCTCCGGAGCCCCCTCCCCGGCCTTTGTCCCGCAGAGGACCCCTCGGGAGCGCGGAGCCCCTCGGAGGACAAAGGGCTCATTGAGGCGCCAGGCCGGGCAGCGGGGGAGGAGGAGGGTGTAGGGCAGAGTGATGGGCGACGGCGGCCAGGGCTGGCGTGGCCCGGGGACCAGGTTCGAATCTTGCTCTCACCACAGCGAACCCCGCCGGGTCCCCAGGACCTTGTCTGGGAGCCTCGGTGTGCCCATCTGTGAAATGGGGTGAATGAGGGACGGGGAGAGTCCACGGTGGCTGGCTATTGCCTGGGCTGTATATTCGCAGTGTGTGGTGTTGACTATTTTTTAAAAAATATATTTTTTATTGATTTTTTTTTTTTTTTTTTTTTACAGAGAGGAAAGGAGAGGGATAGAGAGTTAGAAACATCGATGAGAGAGAAACATCGACCAGCTGCCTCCTGCGCACTCCCTCACCGGGAATGTGCCCGCCACCAAGGCACATGCCCTTGACCGGCATCGAACCTGGGACCCTTGAGTCTGCAGGCCGACGCTCTATCCACTGAGCCACACCGGTTAGGGCAGAATGTTATCCTTCCTGGATAGAATGCACTCATTCGCTCAGCAAATATTTACTGAGCCTCGACTGTGTGCCAGTCCCGGCTCCGGGCCCGGGTAGGTAACCCAGGGAGGCTCACACTGAGGGGTGTGAGGTGCTGTTCGTACCGGCATCTACCTGCACCCAGTCTTTGAGGAAGTTCCAGTCCCCTCTTCTCCAAGCCCAGATATATTGTATTTCTAGAAAGTTCCAGGCGCTGAGACCAGAGGCCGTGACTCTGATCACCCCTTGGCAGGCGGCCAG